ACAGGCTGTGAGTCAGAAGCGCCAGACTGTCCTTGCAAAGTTGGAACTGCCCAACTTTATAGAAACAGCCTTTGAGCACAGATGCATTGTAGGCTACTGGTTCAGGAAACAGTACTCATCCTCCATAGAATGTGCTGCACACATCTGAATATTTGGGTTGAGCTGTTCTGGAACATGTGGGGACGTGTTAGAACGAGCCGTTTTAGGTAGGCGTGGCTGACTCTTAACTTTTATAAAGAATATCTCTTTGGATTTGAGACTTTAGTCTTTGCAACTTTACAGATCTTCTTTATGCACCAAGAGCTTGTAACACTCCAAAGAGAAAGGAACAATAGAAATCGCATCATATGACCCCTTTAAATCTTGCTTTGATGCTTTGTGTCCTGCTGTCCTCAGTATTATAAATGACTCCTTGCAGACTGGGGTTGTTCCATCAGCATTAAAGATTGCTGCTGTAACCCGTGTACCTAAAAAATAAAATGTTGCATTGGACGACTTCAATAACTTTCGTCTTATTTCAAATCTCCCGTTTTTGGCAAAATTAGTTGAGAGTATTGTTGCCTCTCATTTGTGTAATCATCTCACAGTTAATAATCTTTTTGAACCTCTTCAGTTGGGTTTTCGTAAATTTCACAGTACTGAGACGGCTTTGGTCAAAGTCACCAATGATTTGTTGATGGCTTCTGACTCTGGTGCAACATCTATTCTTATTCTTCTTGATCTAAGAGCCGCGTTTGATACTGTAGATCACAGTCTTTTACTTACTCGTCTTGAAAGAGTGTTTGGTGTGTCCACTGCCTTGAAGTGGTTGAGGTCTTATTTTACTGACCGCTCCCAGATCGTTTCTATGGGTGATTGTAGGTCTGAGATTAGCTCTGTCTCCACTGGTGTCCCTCAGGGGTCGGTTTTAGGCCCTCTACTTTTTAACATTTATTTGTCACCTTTATATCACATTTTGAGATCGCTCGGCCTTCATTATCATTTGTATGCCAACTATACGCAGATTTATAGACATCCAAAACCTCATTAAAAATGCCTTGACATTGCTTATTTGTCTGACTGAATTACTGAGATTAAAATAATAATGAGTAATAATTTATTGTGTTTGAACGGTGGTAAAACTGAAGTTATGCTCATTGGTTCCCTTCATTCAATTTCTAAAGCTGGTTCTCTGTCCCCGACTCTTGATGGCTCTGTTTTGGAAATCCAGAGTCGAGTGAGGAACCTTGGAGTTATTTTTGATGCAAGTCTGTCTTTTGATTCTTTTCTCCAGAGTACTGTTAAAACCTTTTTTCCACCTCAGAAATATCGCAAGATTATGCCCTATGTTAAATTTTACAGTCACGGAAATGCTGATAAATTCCATTGTCGTCTCACGGTTAGACTATTGCAACGGTCTTTTAGCCGGAGTTTCTAAATCTACACTTAATAAATTGCTATATGTACAAAATTCAGCCACCAGGATTTTAACTGGGATTAGGATTGGCAGTCATATTACTCCAGTGTTACAATCCTTGCATTGGCTCCCAGTCAGGTTTAGAGTGGATTTTAAAATTATTATGCTTACTTTTAAAGCATTACATGGCCTGGCAATACATTACCTTACAGAATTGTTACATCTGTACACTCCTAGTCGTAGATTGTGTTCCTCTCTGTCTAACTTGTTGGTTGTTCCTCAAACACATCTAAGATCAATGGGTGATAGGGCTTTCTCTTTCTATGCTCCTGTCCTTTGGAATTCTTTGCCTCTTGAACTTAGGGAAGTTCAGAATTACAATATTTTTAAAGTTCAACTTAAGACAATTTTTTTAAACTTGCATTTGCTTGTTGATCTGGTATTGTTTTTATTGTATTGATTATATTGTGTTAGCACATTGAGAAGCTGCTTTTAAAGGCGCTTGATAAAATAAAGTTTATTATTATTATTAAGTCCATTTAATTTAACAGTAGTTATCACCTTATTGAACATTATTTGTTGGTGTGTATGTTTTTGTCTCTCTTTAGTCTGGACCATGGAGGACATTTCAGGATCAGACCAGGACTGAGAAAATGTACACGCACACACAAACACACATACACACCTGTGCATATTTAATTATGTCAGATGTTCTGATCAGTCTTTCTGTGTTTAGATGCCTGTGATCTCACACTGGATCCAAACACAGCACACACTCAACTCATCTTGTCTGAGAAGAACAAAAGAGCAACATGCAAGAAAGAGCATCAACAATATCCTGATCATCCAGACAGATTTGAGAACTGTGAGCAGGTTATGTGCAGAGAGAGTCTGACTGGACGCTGTTACTGGGAGGTTAAATGGAGCGGCTCAGGTCATGTAGCAATGACATATAAAAGAATCTGCAGGAAAGGAGGAAGTAACTGTAGGTTTGGACGGAATGAAATGTCATGGAGTCTTTATTGTAGTGATAACTTGTACACTTTTTGGTACAATAATAAGACAACTGACATTCCTGCCCCTACTCCCCGCTCTAATAGAGTAGGAGTGTATCTGGACTGGTCTGCTGGCTCTCTGTCCTTCTACTGCGTCTATGACACACACACACACACACACATACACACATTCAACACCACACTCGCTGAACCCCTCTATGCTGGAATTGTAGTTTATCCTGATTGTTCAGTTTTTCTGTGTGAGAATTAACAGCCTTCTGTGAGAAACCTCAGAGACTCATATGGAAGCACATTTTAACCTCAGAGTCCTAATCTTACAGTTGTAATTTTCTCACAATTTAAACTTGAATACCTAGGTTAGTTACAGTTGCAAGATAAAAGCTACACTGAAAAAAATGTATGAAAAAAAAGCCCAGTGAAATGCATGGCAGCATAGGATGCCACACGTTTACCATTAATGGAAACAACAGCCAAAGAGTCAAGACCATAAACTAAAATAACACATTTAAAATGTAATAGGAAAAATGCACTCTGACCTTAAACTACAATAACATGCTCAAATTGCAAATGGTACGCAATATGATATCAATGAGGAAAAATTATTTGTGATGTTTTTCCAGCTTAAAATTGGTCATTTTAACTATATCAATAAACATTTTCATTATTTATTTTTTATTTATTTACTTTTTTTAAAAGTATGTTGCCTTAAGGCAACATTGTACCACAACGGACAAATTGAAAAATGTGACATTTTCATGCAGAAAAAATAAATATATTTATTGACAACAGCAATGCCTTTAAACAAACACTTGAACAACCAGATTTATCTAGTTTTATTGTATGTTATGTTTATGTTTATTGTATTGCACATCTCATATTTAATAAAAAAGTAACATTTCATATCCAGCTGTTGCTCTCATGCAACATTGTACCATCGTGGATCACAAGAATAAACAAACCATCATATCAGTTATCAAATCAAAACATTACAATCAGTGTTGTTTTAAGGTAAAACATTTAAAATCATCATAACGTTATCCTAATATGCACCTTATCTTTACAAGCATGCACAAGCATATGCACGTAAAATCTCCTTCCTCACTAATGAAACCTCCCCAGCTAACAGGGAAGGTTCTCAGAACTTTGGCTAACGTTCTCTCAAGGTTCTCTCAAGGTTATAAACAAACATTCCTCCAGTAATGTTAATATAATGTTTGTTCAAAGTTATCTGGTCTTTAACAATGTTCTCAAACGGTTAGACAAAAATGTTATTTACACGTTGTTTGTAGAAGGTTTTTTTTAATGTTCTCTTAATAATGAGAGAAAACGTTCTTAGAACAACATTGAACATCCTTCTCAGCTAACAGGGAACATTCTCAAGAGGTTGACACAACAACGTTACTTATACTGTACTTCAAGTTTATTTTATTAAGTATACTTAAGTAAAGTTGAAGT